TTTCACAGGGGTCGCCTAAGACCATCCTGCATATCAGATATTTACATTACGATTCATAACAGTAGCAACATTACAGTTATGAAGTAGCAACGAAAATAATTGTATGGTTGGGTCACAACATGAGGAACTGTATTTAAAGGGCCAGAAGGTTGAGAACCACTGCTCTAGAGGGAGCATTTTCATCGGTCAGCGCAACGCACCTCCTGGCCGGAGGAAACCTTTCCACGGACACCTGTCCGAGAGCTCGTTCATTCCGTAGCTGTGCTCGGCCCGTGTCCATTAGCGTCTCAGCGCGATTGATCTCAGGACGTCCTCTCCAGGAAAACTGCGGGAACCACAGAACGGCTGAGCGAGCCGAGGGGCTGTGCCCACAGCACCACTCACAGCCTCCAGGCGCCTTGAGTCTGGGTGTCACCTTCGGGCGTTGCTCCTCCCGCCAACTCGGGGGCGCCTGCAGGTGCCATTGTGAGCAGATGGTCTCTCGGCCTCCATCATCTTCTAGAGCTGAGCCCGGCCACTTCGAGGGGCATCGGCTCTGGACTCTGGGTAGCAGAGGTCCTTGGCCGTGGCGTCTGTTTGGACAACCCTGGAAGGTGTCGTCCATTAGGTCTGGTCGCTTCCTCTCGTCCTTCCCTCCTGTGGGGTCAGGAGGAAGCGCTCACACTCTCCCTGCCCCGAGCCTACATTGTTTCCCTCCTAGACTCCGGGTTCCATGAGCCCCTCTTCGCGGGGTACTTCCTCCCAGGCCCGCAGCCCCGCCTTTAGAAGAGTTTTGGGAAGGTGACACAGAGGTGGGTCGGAGCTGCTTTTGGAAAAGGCTCTGAACTTGCTCCCAGAACATGGCCGCGACGCCCCGCCCGGTGCGGTGCCGGAGAAAAGGTTTGCATGTTTCTCTGTCGTAAACCGAGGCACCGGCACTGGGATGGCCGTGGCCTTACGTTTCGCTGCTTCTGTAAATTCCTTTCGGTCCATCCGTACCCCCTGGGTGCGGGCACCCTGGGAGCTGAGGGGTGGCCAGCCGGGCCCCGATTCCTGGAAGTGGATCGACACGGAGGGGCGCTCCTGTCCTTTGCCCGGCTCCTGTGCACACGACGTGCAATTTCCTGAGCTCCTTAGCTGTGCTCGGCCCGTGTCCATTAGCGTCCCAGCGCGATCGATCTCAGGACGTCCTCTCCAGGAAAACTGCAGGAACCACAGAACGGCTGAGCGAGCCGAGGGGCTGTGCCCACAGCACCACTCACAGCCTCCAGGCGCCTTGAGTCTGGGTGTCACCTTCGGGCGTTGCTCCTCCCGCCAACTCGGGGGCGCCTGCAGGTGCCATTGTGAGCAGATGGTCTCTCGGCCTCCATCATCTTCTAGAGCTGAGCCCGGCCACTTCGAGGGGCATCGGCTCTGGACTCTGGGTAGCAGAGGTCCTTGGCCGTGGCGTCTGTTTGGACAACCCTGGAAGGTGTCGTCCATTAGGTCTGGTCGCTTCCTCTCTTCTTTCCCTCCTGCGGGGTCAGGAGGAAGCGCTCACACTCTCCCCTCCCCGAGCCTACATCGTTTCCCTCCTAGACTCCAGGTTCCATGAGCCCCTCTTCGCGGGGTACTTCCTCCCAGGCCCGCAGCCCCGCCTTTAGAAGAGTCTTGGGAAGGTGACGCAGAGGTGGGTCAGAGCTGCTTTTGGAAAAGGGTCTGAACTTGCTCCCAGAACACGGCCTCGACGCTCCGCCCGGTGCGGTGCCGGAGAAAAGGTTTGCATGTTTCTCTGTCGTAAACCGAGGCACCGGCCCTGGGATGGCCGTGGCCTTACGTTTCGATGCTTCTGTAAATTCCTTTCGGTCCATCCGTACCTCCTGGGTGCGGGGACCCTGGGAGCTGAGGGGTGGCCAGCCGGGCCCCGATTCCTGGAAGTGGATGGACACGGAGGGGCGCTCCTGTCCTTCGCCCGGCTCCTGTGCACACGACGTGCAATTTCCTGAGCTCCTCATCTTTGACAGTCTCACTTTTAGCCTCTATTTGCCAATCGCGGCTCCCTGTGGCCTGCTTCGTTATTGCCAGGCACTGGACGCAGCTCACGGGCGCCATTCCCGTCACAGGGACCTGCGTCCAGCGCTACCTGCACACAAGGTGACAGTGAGTGACAGCAACCGCAGACCTGGCTGCATCCCCCTGCCCTCCCTCAGTGCCTGGGTTGGCTGCCACCCAGGCCCCGGCCAGGCTCACGGCTCCCAGGGTGTTTATAGTGCGAAGCACAGCTTCATTGGCGTAAATTCATTGCTCAACCCAGACAGGGATCCGATTACCGATTTTTTTTCTTTTTTGCTTATTTGTTATTTAGAAGGCCTGGGCTGGGAATAGCAGGTCCGTTTTGTAACTGGTCTTTGTGCCAGAGGTAAGAGCCGTTGGCAAACTGTTTGCAGGAGGGAGCTGTGGGCAGGGCCGGCTGGCGGGCGGTGCCCGGTTCCGGTGGCTCACACCCCCCCCCGCCCCCGGGGCAGCTGGTACGGAGCCTGTGAGGGTTAGCTCCTCGCTCCTCTCACCTCCCGGGCCATGTTTTCTGCATCTTTGCCCGGTTCTCTCTCAATAAACGCAAATTCCCCTCCTTATCAGCTGTACGTCGTTTGAAACGCTCTCAGCTGTGGTTTCCTGTAACCTAGCAACAAGCGGGCGTGGGCCACGCTGCCTTTCTGGGTGGGAATGCAAACACCGACGGACAAAACTGAGCTCTGGGGGCAGCGAAGGGCGGGCTGGTCTCCAGCAGCCACGCGTGTCTGTGAGGCAGCCAGGCC